ATGACAAATATAACGTTACTAACACTGGATGTCCTCACAAACAGGAAGATCAATCTGACAGGACTCGTTGCTATAACTAATGACAACTGGGCTAATGTCACGAAAGCGGTGCAGCTGAACACTAACGTTAGCTTGCTAACTTAAGAGGCATGTAGCTATGGACAAGTGGGTTAGAGGATTGAAGGGAATTTGTTATTGTTGATATTTTTTTAAATTTTACACATCAGTTGCAATAAACTTACCATGTTCTGCAAAATACACAATTGTTCCCTGCTTCGTCTGTCCTAAACGTCAAAAGTGAAACTTAAAATGAACGGCAATGACATGACAGTAGTCTTTGTGCGCCCTCTGCTGGATACATTGTACAATTACGACTGGTTCCAGCAACAAAGTTCATGCTCAATCATCCACGTACCAAATCTAATAATGCTCAGTCAGGTCATCTGGATAGTTTCTTTTTGCTAGAGAGTTTCACCCTCTATCCGGAGGACTTCATCAGTCTGAGGAGCTGGAGGACTGGTTCCAGCATTTTAGGGGTGAAAATTAGAAGCGCTTATATCGGTACATAATGGGACAATTATCGCAGATAGTCCCCAAACGTCTATATCAGCCTAAAACATCAGCCCTGCTCATATATCGGTTGGGCTCTAATATATACATTTAATCTGTGAAATGCAGAAATTGGTGAAAAGCAAACAATACATTCAATAAATAATTTATTTTGAGCTAAAGCACCTTCAAGTTCTTTTGTTCTGATTCTAACAAACTTTCTGTTCATTTTCATGCCAATATTATAATATAATAATGAAAGCAAAATGAAAAAAGAATTCCAATAAACAACAACAAGAATGGGTCAGATACCTTTTAAACAAATATAGCACGATGCTCAAGGGTGTCAGAAGCATCCGTAATGTGTGTGTGTGTGGGGGGGGGGGGACACAATGTGTGTGTAGGTGTGTGTGTGCGCGCACACAATGTGTGCATGCATGTGTGCGTGCGTTAAAAAAAGTGTTCACTAGTGAACAAAAAAAGCAACATTTCATCTAGATTTCCTTTAATTCCACACATTTTAAACATGTTTTTCACCAAGTTTGTGTAAATTCATCTGTGGGTTTTAAAGACATTTTAACTTTAATACACTTTAATACAGACCGTCTGGTCGGCACTATTTGTCTTTATAGAGAAATAAAAAACATCACCACTAGACATTTTTACTTGTGTTCAACACTACTCATCTAAATGATGTTTTTCACGAAGCATGAGGACAATAAGGTGTGGGGTTTTAAAGACATTTCAACTTTAATGCACCTGAACACACAGCGTCTCTTACACCTGCAGCGTCACAGTTACTGCTAAGCTAAGATGCTACGTAGCGCTCCTCTTTTCTCAAGCATCCTGCTAACATGAATATATGTTTATGATCAACCCCCCCAGTCAACAACTGCCCGCACAAAGCTGCTAAACTGGCGAGTGAGTAACACAGAGGCGTCTCCATCTCCTCCACCTGTGCGCATTTTCTGCAGGAGGAGACGCACAGAAACACTGCAGGTGTTACACCATATTCTGTGACCGCCGTATATTGTGACCGTGGCAACAGACTGAGGTGTTTAGAGGTGGAGGTAACCAGGAAAACCTGGAGTGGAGTTTTAGTGGCCTGAGTATTCTCCTATTAATCAAGTGGAATGGATTCGTTCACGAAGAAAGAGAAACTGTGCCGACTGAACTGTTTTATAGTAAAAGTGGGGGGGTCCAAATGAACGTTTTTTTAATGTGGGGGGGGACTTGTCCCCTTCACATATGTGATGCCTATGATGATGCTGAAGGCCGCTTGGTCACAACAAACCTGACAGGATTAACAAATGATGAAACAGATGTGGACATATGAGAACTTTGTTAGCTTCACTCAGCTGTGCAAGTTCAGTTTAGTGGAATAAAGACAATTATGATCATATTGATCACTACTGTATGTAGATTTGAGAAAAAATACTAAATATTAAATGTGACAAACCACTTTAAAAAAAAGGCAAAAAAATTAAGAAGATGTTGGACAAGTTTAAATTAGGCAGAGTGAAGCTGTTAAATTGTTTGTCACTTCTGTAGGAATGGAAAACGTTACAATTTGAAATCATGAGGGATTAGAACATGTTGATCTGCTAAAGCAGAGAGATCAAAGTACAGTCTATAGAGCACATTTTATGCATTTAGTTCTATGTTGTTGTGCAGATGCACTGGTTTTATTTCCTTCAGTCAAATCACCTTAATTGACAAAGTTGGCAATTTTTTAGATTAAATCCATGTAAAAAAAAAGAAAAGTGAATGACCTATAGACAACTAATTTTATTGAAACTCTTACAGCTCATTAAAACAGTGTTTTATTTACTGTAAAGTGATTCAGTTAAAAACAAGTCTCTAATAAATATCTGCATATCTTTAGTATGGGACAAAGTAAACAAAAATGTAAAAATAAATTAGTGGTTTATTTTACAAAGATAATAGCTTGGACAGATTTGTTGGTACCCTTTCAATGACTATTATTTTGTTGCATTATAGTGCAGGTTTGCAGTAGCTCAGTGCTCAGTGCTGTGGACAGTCCTGATCTTGTATGTATGTGGAATCCTGAGGCTGCAGGATGACGCACAGACTGCGTCAGGAAGGGCATCTGGCGTAAAACAATTGCCAAATCTTTCATGCAGGTTCACTCTTGGTGGCAACCATTGCAGAAGGCAGCAGCCAAAATAAAAACAACAACATAAGATGTTTCAAGCAATGTGAGCGTAATTAGTATCGCAGGTGACTTCAGGCTCTAGATCAGCCGTTCAGTCTAGAAGAGAATATATATGTCCCTGGGTAGTTTAGTATTGTTGTGTGCCTTAGATAGAGAAATTTACTAATTGGCTTTTATGTATGTTCCTGTAAAGCGCCCTGAGACAACTTAATTGTGATTTGGCGCTATAGAAATAAACTGAATTGCATCATACTGGACATGGAGCAGAAAAAGAAAAGGTGAGAGCGGTCTGAGGAGCTCAAACAGAAGATTATAAATATTCATGAAGGTAAAGGCTGCAAGACCGTCTCCATCAGGTTCATGTTCCTCTGGCCATAAACATACAAGGCACGTGGAATTGTAAAAAACCTCCCAGGATGTGGAAACGCTATCCCATAATCACACGATTAGTGTGACTTGTAGAGAAAAATAAAACCAACCAAGCTGAACCCTAAGGTCAAGTTAAGTCATGTTCTGATCAAATCATTTGTCATGTTTTGAAACATATTTTAGAGCTTAATGTTAGAAGACCCAAAAGGACTCCACTGTTGACATGAAAACAGCAACGCCAAAACAAAATTCACCATTTTTATTCCAACAAGCTTTTAATACGTAAATATGTGGTGACATTTCTGGTTTTATTTGTGCTATTATGTTGTGTTTTCTTGCTTTTAACCTATTGTCATTTTAAGTACTGTTTTTTGTTAAGCACTTTGGTCACCATCACCATGGTTGTGTAAAGTGCTATAGAAATAAATAAATAAATAAAATAAATAAAAAGCACGTTGACAAGGACCAAAGTTTCTGGGACTGATGAGCTCAAAGTAGAATGCTGTGGCTCCAGTCACATCAGTTGTTTGTTTTTGATTATTTTACTGTGGAAGGGTAACAACAATTTTATCCATGTCCATGAATAAAGTAAAAGCCCTAAGGATCTAACATCGTCTAACAAATTTTTTAATGAAGTCAAAACTGACTATTTATAGTATGTATTTTTAAATAAATATCAGTGCATGTTTTAACATCCTTTGAAGTATAGATGACTGAAGGGTTGAGAACGGCACTTTTAAAATATTCAGATATACAGTCAGTCAGATTAGTTACATCTCTGTCTGAATATCACAGACCTTGCTGTGTTAATCACCACCCCTATCATTTGTATAAATTAAAAAAAAACATTTTCTCTTGCTAGATGTGGGTTTTTTATGTTTTTTCCCCCTCCTGGAAGGGCATAGAGTGCTTTTGCATCATCGGAAGTGAATAATCAAGAACAGAACTTCCCCTCTATACAAACTCATGTGGTTTGTGGCAACAGAAAAAGCACACGTGTATAAATAATGTAGAGGGGCTCCTGCTGCTCTACTGTCACTGTGAAAGACACGGTGATATTTCACAGGCCCTGGGGAGTCACTGCCATGAATGTTTCAGATGTATGCTGGACACAAACACTAAAAAGGACGAGTTACATTCTGGCTGCTGCAGAGCTTCATGTCAAGCTGACCACTCATTTGAATAACATGTATTGAAGCAAAGAAACTTCTGGAATAATTATGACGGGGCTCCCGTGGATGAAGTCTGAGCAGCACTAGCCTACCATGACAAAAAGGGTTCATTTCACAATTTTAAATTCACACTGCTTATTGTACTGTGACAAAGCATGATGCCTGCCATCAAAAGGGATTATTAGACCCAATCAAATGTGGACACTGGGAATCAAAATGGAGTAGAAATTGCAGCTAAGTGTCAGTATCCTGCCTTGGTAATAGCACTGGCAATTGCTTCAAATAGATTAGAAAGTTCTGACAGTATGCGAGAGTCAATAAAACAGGAACTTGAGCAATGTGGTAAATAAATAAATTTAAGGAACAAAAGTCTACACTTTTGCATGTGATTCAAGTCAGATCTGTTGTGCGTCCACGCCTTCAGCAATAATAAAACCCCTTTTGGTAGCCAGGAAGATGAGCCCAAATGGACTCACCAACAGGGAAACAGTACTTTACAAACTGTAGTTAAAAAGTTACAGCTTGTAACTTGGAGCTATATCGACGGCACTGAACCTATGGCTTTCAGTGTAACCTGACAACAAGTTAGGATACCTGAGGCTGACAAGAAGGGCTAAGATGTTGTCCTGCTAGCAGCAAAGCGACCAGTTGACTCTGTTGCTTCAAAGTTATTCAGTTACTTTCACGATTATACCTAAGAAACACACAAGCTCAGTAAATTGATCACTACTCACTTTATGTGCAGTGTCATCGTGATGGACTTCGTTACAATAATTAGCAGGAAGACTTGAGGCTAACATCTTTGGTAAACTGATGTGGCGACTCCGACGACCTCGGTTCTGCCCTCTCCTGTTTTCCGTTCGCCGACTTGTTTACTCAAAAAGATTATCTCGAAAACTGATGGCAAATATATCTTCTCTTCGCTATTGTTGCGTTGCTAACAGATAACTTATTGTTTGAACGGGGGTGTCAAAAAGTGACTCGGAACTTTAGTTTAACAAAAAATTTCCAGCTTCCTGGACTGGACGGTTGGATGACGTAGTTCAGAGGGTGGCGCTGATTGGCTGTAGGAGGAAGGGCGACGTGCTGGACGTACAAGTTGAGAAACACTGGAATGGCCACACGGCGTTAGGCAAGGTCGTTGGTAGCCATCTTGTAAGGAGCTGCGTGTATCTACAACGCACACAGGTCTGCGTGGTGCTTTGCTTCCCCTAAAGTGGCTCTTTCTAGCTTTGACCAACAGTAACAGAAAATATTTATAGTTTTACTCACCGCAACAGTACGACGCAGAGCCCTATAAAGAGAGAGTTGCGACACTCTTTGAACTCGCCGATACGCGGTCACGTGGTTCATGCATCTTTTTTTTTTTTTTTTTTTTTTTTTTTATTAAAGATTTTAATCACACATTACAAACATCTGTTTGCCAGGGGTATAGATATTAATGTAAAAGAGATAATATTCTAGTACAAAACATAAAAAAACATGAAATTATATTTACAATTTATACAGAGTTTAAATTCACATTAAGCTTTTCCAGAGTTGAGATGGTTTTCATTGCCTTTTGGTTTTCCAGTCCATTAATTGAGGTGATGTATTGAAGAAGTTCTTTGCTGAAATGGGTTATGTTTGGTTTGGAGTTGGACCATTTTTTCTTGTGAATGTGAAACTTTCCCAGGAGAAGTAGAAGTTGGGTGAAGTGCAATAAGTCTTTATTCGTGCCTTTGTCTTCAAAGCCTAGTATAATGTCTTTCTCTGTAAGCTGAATTATTTGTCCAGTTTTTTGCTGTATGAATTGTTGCACATCTCTCCAGAATGAGATTGTATGAACACATTGATAGAATAAATGAGAAATCGTTTCTATGTGTAGTTCACAGAATGTACAAGGTCAATGTCAAGTTTAAATCTTTCCAGTGTTTTTTTAACAGGATATACATTATGAATAATTTTATATGAAACCTCTTTAACTTTGTTTGTTATGCAAAATTTTTCCCCATTTAACCACATCTGCTTCCAGTTAACTCCTTCAAATATGGAAGACCAGAAAAATCTACCAGGAGGCAGAGTAATCTTCTGCAGACAAGTTCTTATGAGTTTGTTGGAGCATGTTTTTTTTGTTACATCAATTCCATCCAGCATTACGGGGCTTCTAAGTTGGTCTCTAGGCAAATTGTTCACGTTTGTTCCTTTGAAGAGCTGCCTCATAGATTTTGGTAGAGCATCAAAAACTACAGCATACTCTTTAGGTGTTACAGGAATTTTAAGTCTAGTCAGAAATTCAGTGTATGTCATAAAGGTTCCATTATCATTTAATAGTTGTTGTACGAGCATAATTCCATTTTCCATCCAATTTTTGTAGTAAAGCGACTTGTTCTTATATAAAATATTCCCATTGTTCCAAATGCAATATGTAGTTGGGGAGAAGTTGTGTTTGTAGGCAAGTTTCCAAGACAGGAGAGCTTGTTGGTGAAATCTCGATAACTTAATAGGTAATTTTTCAATTTTATAATCACATTTTAATAAAAATTGGATTCCTCCTATCCGCTTAAAAATATGGTTGGGGAAAGTGTTCCAAAGCGTATCTTTTCCTTTTAATAAGTTAGTTAACCATTTAATTTTAAAGGAATTATTTAGCATTTCAAAACTTAGGACATCTAGACCTCCAAATGTTTTATTATTACAGAGAATATCTTTTTTTAAGTAATGGCATTTATGTTTCCATATAAAGTCAAATAATGTTTTATCTAATTTTTTGCATACATCTTTTGGCATCTCTAATGATAAGGAAGTATATACAGATCTAGATATTCCCTCAGCTTTTGACAGTAGTACCCTACCATTTAATGACAGGTCCCTCATTAGCCACATGTTAAATTTTGTTGTGGTTCATGCATCTTCCAATAGTTCCAAATAGCTTATCCTGTCAGTCAGTTTGAGCGGCTGCTGGCGCAACACAACACAAAAATCGACTTTTCTTACTTTACCTGGTGTCTTTCAGTAATTATTGAGCAGTAACGAACTGATTATTGATTATTTCACAGACTATGCATTTTATCAAAGCATTTTTAGAAGCGGCTGATACATTTATCATTAAATTTTAGAAGGAAACGAGACTGCAAACACATATTTGTTAGAAAAAAATGTATATGCAATACAGTGATCAATATAGCCATGCCAGTGTTTTATAACGTTACACACGTTAAAAAAAGATCAGAGTAACACCTGTTATAAAGCTTTTTCTGATGTTCTCTGCAGGATAATGCTCCACCTTGTCCTCCATGCCAGTAGTTCAGATCTGCTCCAGCTTACCTCAGATCAAATGGATGAATTCTTGATTTCTATAGAAGATATTAATTCAACCTTTATTTAAACAGGTTAGTCCCACTGAACCACGAGGACTCATTTACAAGAGAGACCTGAATATAATTGTTGTATTTGTCGTTTTTTTATGGCAACCAAGTACCTGATAACTGAGTTGATTGTAGCCTGACAACTATTGGATAAATTGTAATTCACTGATTAAAATGTTAATTTAAATGAAACTGTTTCTAGCTAAAATCATAACAGATGACAAAATACGTGTTAATTGTGCAAAAATTAATTTCCAAACAATTTATTATAAAATATGTAAAATGTAAAAAAAAAAGCTTTAATAAAGTACTTTTACTACTATTTATACTGTTTATAATTACATCATCTCAAGTCAACAGGAGCACCATCATCATCATCACAACAACACAAAGTGAGAGCTGTAAATTTAATCTGCACAAACATTTTCAATCAGGGCTCAAAATGTTGAACTGTCGAAGAAATCCATCCATCCAGTTTGAGTCTGGGACTGAGGTCCACCTCCCAGCAGGTTAATGACCTTAAACACTCTGCTGAAACAAGCCTCTACTTTCAGGACAATTGTCCTGGAAGGGTCCAGTAAAAATCCCAACCTTAGTCCAACTGAGAATCTCTGGTTTATTTAAAAAGGGGTTGAAAACAAGGAGCATCCATCCAAACTGAAGGAGATGCAGCAGTTTGATCATGAAATCAGACATAAAGTTCAAAGGTCAGACCAAGCTCTTGGAGACAAACCTGAGGAGACTTGATGCTGAAGCTGTTATAAAGGCTGGGGGCAAAAAGTGTGAATACATATGCACATACTAATTAATAATCTTAAACACATTTCCCCCTTATTCTTTAATCTGAAGTATTTTTTTAGGATTAGAACTCAAAATTGAATTAAATCTATATTGTAAGAAAACTAAATAGAAAGCTTACAGTGAGGGTGACCTACATTAATATTGAAATCATATGGTTCATAGGCAGTCATGAATATTGTAAACTATATCCCAAAAAGCATTTAAACCTATTTAAACTATGCACGGCTTTGAGTTTATTCTTGCCCTTTCATGTTTAAGTTCAAGATGTAATGAGGCTATTAAAAATGAAAGACAAATAAACTCACTAACTTAAATATTGTGCTGAACTTTTTATTAAACCAAAGTTGTTTTTTTTTTATCATAAAAGGCCAAAAAATAATTACCTGAGAATGACAAGAACTTTTAATCTCTAGTTTTAGGTTTAAGAGCCACACATGGGAACAAAAGAACTTAATCTTCCGAGCTTTGAAACAATTTGTTCCTTTGTACTTTTCTGTTATTTATTTATGAAAGCAAGCTATTTAATCAAACTGGGAATAACATGAAGCACAGCAGATGGTTCTGTCAGCACACCAAGGCCAAATTAAAATGCTTTGTTTGGATGTGGTTTATTTGTTGAGCAGCTTTTGAGGAACTGATCCCTTCAGTAAAGTAAGACCAAGTGTTGCAACACGTGGATTATTAGACAGAAGGCTGCGAGCTGGGCCTAATTAATGAAACGAGCTACAGGTGTGTTCCTCCGCGGCGCTGCTCCGGACCTGACCAACATGGCGCAGGGATGAGCGCGATAAGAAGGACACTTCTTCCTCTTCCAGGGCCTGTGGACGGTGATAATGAAGGTACCAGAGACGGAGCTAATGAGCGACATTTTGAAGCGGCTGACAGGTGAGTCGGCTCTGCCCAGGTACTGCAGCATCGAGAAGTACAAACGCGGGGGAGGCGGCTTCTACTTCATTGCGGAGAACTTCAACGAAACGGTGAAAAAACGAGAAATGGTCAACGCCAAGGAGCGACAGAGAGTATGTGTTTCTGAAGATACATGTGTCCACAGCTTTTACCTTTTTTTTTTGTCGGGTTTGGTGCTTCTGTCGACATGAAACCTTGGTTGAGCTGAAGTGACGTGTAGCTAATTAACCTTTCACCTTGTTTTATTACCGACCAGGGGCGCTGGCAGAGGGGGCTGAGGGGGGGAATTATCCCCTCACCCCACTGGCCCATCTTGGCTAACTTTTATCCTGATGTTGAGCTACCAGCGTTTGCTTTGTGTGTACTCTCCCATAGCTGTTGTAAAATTAGTGAAATCTTATAAAACATTATTTTTGGTTTTGATAAAAGCTGAGATGCATATTCTGAGCGCTGACATTATACGTGTTCTTTTCCTGTCAGCAAAATGTACAGTAAACCAGTGTCGGGTTTTATTGAAGCTTTCAGGAATTAATCATTGGATATACATTTAAAATCTGTTAACCACAATTCAAAATGGCCTCCGCAGCCATCTGCTCATAGGAAATCCCTTGGTGTCTAATCAAACTTTATTAATCCCAGGTGGGGGATTATAGACATGGAGTAGCATTTGCTAATTATACTCATTGTTTTTTAGAATTGCATTGAATATGCATGTATTTTTGGAAAGATATTAACATAAAAGAAAACTGTTCAGGTATTTGCATGCACAGTAACAGGAAATGATGACGGAAGAGGAACACCGTCATGTGAACGGAGCATTGCTATACTTATAATTATACAGTAATTGCTATAATGGTTAGCAACACGCAGTAGAGAAGAGTCCGTTTCTTTTGTTTGAGAGACAAAGAAGACTCCGATTTTAAATGTTGCTATTTATAAAAAAATAAAAAAGACCAGGGAGTTCCCTTTTTTAAAGAGTTCCTCTTTGTCACTTCCTGTTTCAATTTCCAAATTGAATAGAAAATATGGCAGTTAATGTGGCAAAATGTGTATTATCCCTTTTTTTATATATTGAGATGTTGAGTAGCCAGATGAGGTGGTTCGGGCATCTGGTAAAGATGCCCCCTGGGTGCAACCCTAGGGGGTGCTTCGGGCATGTCCAACTGAGAGGAGACCCCAGGGAAGACGTGACACACTGGAGAGACTGTCTCTCGGTTGGCCTGGGAACACCTTGGAGTTCTCCCAGAAGAGCTGGAAGAGGTGGCTGTGGAAAGATGTCTGGGCCTCCCTGCTCATGCTACTGCCCCCGCGACCCGACTTCGGAATAAGCAGAAGATAATGGATGATGAGATGTTGGTTTTTTTTTTTTTTTTCACTTTTTGTATATGTAGAACGTGCACGTCACTGGCACTTAAGTGGCTGTAATTCAGTTTTACAAATATTGTTCTGGGGTGAACAGTCATGCGCGATAATCCAGGTGTACATTCCAACAATTTTTAGTCGGGTCATCTGGACTTTTTTTTTTTTTTTTTTTGTGTGTGTGTGCTGAAACGTTTCACCTTCCATCCGTAAAGCTTCATCAGTCAAGGAAATGCACAACACAAAACTGATTCTTCCCCAAACAGCTTACTCCAAAGTGGAACAAACCAGTTATGTTGGTGCTAAGATGGTGTCTTTGGCATGCCCCCTCCTCTGGAGCTGGCCCTCTTCCTCGTCGACAGTCGTGTCAAACTGGTTCAAAACAACAAAGGGGGAAGAATCAGTTTTGTTTCTTTGACTGACGAAGCCTTCCGGATGGAAGGTGAAACGTTTCAGCACAAAAAAACTGTCCAGATGACCTGACTGAACAATGTTGGATTGTTCTGGGTGTGTTTGTAGTTGTCAGTCGTTCACACCACGCACTCAAAGCATAGTCTTCCAACGGTAGCATTAACCGTCTGAGTCAACCCAGTACTGGATGCATTTTAATGAAACTTTCAAAAAGTAATCGTTGGATTTACTGTTTTTTGGAGTCAATCCAGTTCAAGATGGCCACCACAGCTAATCAGTATTAGCCAACCTCTTAATTTTACAATTATTTAGCTCAAATTTGATGTAACTGAGGATCACAACACGTAATCTGAGTGTGATGTTTTGCAATACAGCAAGATGCCACAAATGGCATATTTCAAAGGTAGACCAACCCCGATTTACAATAGAACTGTCATGAAAGGATAACTGGATTAAGCTGTGTAGGAAAACTGGTCAACATCTTGTTCAGTCGTGAGACTGAAATGTATAAATTGTATTTTTTTTTATTTCGTTTTAGTATTAATCTTTTGGATTTGTTCTAAAGTTTTTTTTGTAAAAAGTAAATGGGCTACAGAAAACTGGTCATTGTTCACTATGACCAAATTTATGTAAATGTGCATATTTGAGTACATTTTCTGTTTATCCATCCATCCATCCATCCATTATCTTGACCCGCTTATTCCATTTTGGGTCACGGGGGTCGCTGGTGCCCATGTCCAGCAATCACTGTGCGAGGGGCGGGGTACACCCTGGACGGGTCGCAAGTCCATCACAGGGCCACATAGAGACAAACGAGACAAACAACCATTCACTCTCTCACTCACACCTAGGGACAATTTAGAGTTACCAATCAGCCTAACATGCATGTTTTTGGGCTGTGGGAGGGAACCGGAGTACCTGGAGAAAACCCACGCATGCATGGAGAGAACATGCAAACTCCACCCAGAAAGGCCCCTGGACCGGGATTTGAACCAAGGACCTGCTCGCTGAGAGGCAGCAGCTCTACCAGTTGTGCCACCGTGCTGCCCATTTTCTGTTTATAAAATAAAAAATAAAAAAAAATCTGAATTTTCTTCTTTTTTTTTTTTTTTTAAATTCCTGACCATTTTTAATTACACACTGTGCTTTAAAATAAATGCCCAGCAGAAATGTTCATAATCTGTTTGTTTTGGCTGAAACTTTATCGTCATCACGTTGGTAACGATCCACTCTGAACGAGGCAACCATCAGTGCCACATTGTGGACATGACGTGTGCTTCTTGTCTATGCAGATCAGGAACTTGAACACCATGTTCTCACGCTTGAAGCGCATGGTGCCTTTCATGCGTCCTGATCGAAAGCCCAGCAAAGTGGACACACTTAAAGCAGCAACAGAATACATTCGACTGCTGCTTGCTGTTTTGAGAGACACTGAAAATGTGAGTACTCCCTCAAATGATACCTCCACAGACAGGACTGTGATTTATTTGTAATGATTTCTCTGCGTCTCAGGATGATGGCATGGGGACTGACTTCCTAAAGAATGCAATCACTTACAGTCAGACCGAAGGCCTTGGCACTGACCTCTGGAGAATGGATGATGTGAGTTTTCCATTTTCCCACTATGCAATGATGAGTAGTTCTGAATTTATCATGTTTTTATCCCATGTTTTCAAAATGTGCTTTCTGGTACAAATGTAAGGATGCCACAGATGGCACCTACAAACTTTATTGCGTCTAGAGTTAAAGGCCATAATGCTGACGTGCTTAAAGCAGCAACAGAATACATTTGACAGCTGCATAGGTTGTTGCAAAGCAACTATAAAATATTTTTATGAAAGGTTAATAGAAACTAGTTTAATTGCAGATCTTCACTTTTTTTGGGCACCCAGATGCTTAAGCATACTTTTTTCTTGGATAATAAAACAAAGGAAATGTAGAATCACCAAAAATGCTTATTTGTAATCTGCTGCTAGATGAGATGTTTAAATTGATAATAAAACTAGTTTTTATAAAGTGACAGAAAAATCGATGGTGTCCTCTGCATCAACACTCCCATGGTTCTGTGCCCTACAGGTTTTCATGAAAAACTCTTCAGCCATTATTCCGTTTACTTTCAATAGAAATATGGCTGTGGACCATCTGCTGCAGAAAGACTCTAATTTGGGTTTCATTATTTTTATTCAGTTTGATTCATGTAAAAAGTCACTTGCTAAAGTGTCATGGTTTCCAGAACTGTCTAGTAAAATATGCTTTTGAGCATTCAGGTTATAAATTACTTTTATTTGACACTGTAAAAATACTGTCCTTGATTTGAAATTAATGTTTTTGTTCCAAAGGGGACATTTGGGTTGGACAATGCTTCCTTTGACACCTGAACATGGCCTTAAGTTTGTTCTGTGTAAACGTTATGAACTCTTGATCTCAGGCCTGTTGTAGATGGTTCTTTGAATGGCCTCAGTTTGGAGAAATACTTTGTGTGGCAGAGCTGGGGCCTCGTGTATCGATGGTGCATTCGCATGTAAAGGTTGCATGTGCCAGGTTCCACGCGCGCATGGGGATGTATCAAAATGAAAGTGTGCACAAATTCACATACATTTTTGACCTGCCGTGAGAATGCGTTTACATCTATTCAAACTTTTTCAGTCCACAGTATCGGACTAGAAAGTACTGAAACTCGTGTAAATACACAGAAATATGACTGTTTGAATATTTTTTTAAGTTCAGAAAACCAAACGCTTATTTTCATGAATTTGGACATTTATGGTTTAAATCCTAACAAGGAAACTAAACCACATTTAACCTCAAACAACATCTAACATGCCTCAAATCATCAAAACAAGAAGTTTCTTATATTTCTGTTGCATGTAAACACACGTGTCTGTGAGCACACGCCTGCATGGCACACAGGTGTGTGGTGTGTGTGTGTGTGTGTAAGGGGCTTTTATTTTTTATTTTTTTCCCCCACTAAGAAAATGTCAGATCTGTTAGTTCAGAACACCCAACAATTTTCAGTCGGGTCATCTGGACGGTTTATTTTGTTTGTTTCACCTTCCATCCAGAAGGCTTCAACAGTCTGAGGAAACTACAAAAAAACTGCTTCTCCTCCAAGAACTTACTCCAAAGTGGAGTAAGCTGTAGTTTGGCGTTTCCTCAGACTGATGAAGCCTTCTGGATGGTAGGTGAAACTTCAAACAAAAGAATAAACAGTCCAGATGAAAATTGTTGGATTTTATACCTGGATTATTGAGCATGGACTTTGATGTTAATTCAGTACAGCTCATCAGACTCCTCAGATTGACTAGATGTACGCCATCACATGTATGACCCTGAAAGGCTGCGTAAAGTTGTACATATTTGTAGGACATTGACAGCTGTGGTGCTGCAGGACGATGTCACCAATAGAACTGGGAGGCAGCAGGTTTTCAGGGATCACGCCGACCAGATACTGATCAGGTATTAGCCAGGCCAGCTAGATGGGATGATTCATCCATTTAATGCCCTGATATTTAAAGCTTCCCTACACCACGGAGGATATTGATGCTCAGCGACTCATTTTGTCAAATCAACTTTTTAAAGAATAAGCTTTTAAGTTCTACCATGTCCCTGAGTGCATCTGTGTTTACAGGTTTTTTTTTTTATTTGGGGGGGTCGAAGCTCCAAAATTCACAGTTGAAGCCCGTGCCTTTTTGTCAAAAAAATTTTTTTCCTCTACAAAAAGCTGAACTCGTTTAGTGACTTGATTTATTTAATTTTTATTTTATTAAAAGCTTCGAGACAAATGTTATGCTAAAGAACTCAAACCACAGTGTCCACCATTTTGAGAACCGAAGAGACAGCCCATGTTGCGTCAAGGGGCCTCCCTCACATTTTTCTTGGGAGACATGCTGCTTGCTCCCTCGCTATCCATCCTTTGGTTCAGCCTTAGACTGCCATCCTGTGGTCAAAAACGGTACTACACACAAAAATTAACAAACATTTCTTCTTTAATTTGACAAAAATTACCAATTGTCAAATTTCAAACAATTTTGCAATAATTTCTGAGACAATTAATCGCCAGCATAATTTATTGTGACTGGCCTAATCTACACATAAATTTTTAACATGCAGATATGAGAATCCCACATGCAAAACATATTTGCATCCATTTTACATATTTAAATGGACTCGTGTCAAGGGAGGAGTCTGGTATTCCCTCACATGCACGGAATTCCACATTGATTGGGATGTACGAAGGAAGTGTGCTTGGATTTATACATATGCACCGTTTCATACATCTGGATTTTTGTGTACAGTAGTCTCTCGCTTTCTTGTGGTTCGTTTGACCCAAACAGACCACCCAGCACCAGACTCACCTCACCACTGGATGAAGAGCATCTCAGCGTGACCTCAGCAGAAGTAAGGAGTACTTTCAGGAGGATTAATCCGCACAAAGCAACTGGCCCAGACAACATCCCCGGTAAAGTGTTGAATGTGTCGATCAGCTCTGCGAGGTGCTGGCAGACATCTTTAACACCTCACTTATCCTGGAGACAGTTCTCACCTGCCTGAAGACTGCCACCATCATCCCAGTCCCAAAAAGCTCTACAGTGACTGGTCTGAATGATTATCGGCCAGTGGCCCTCACCCCAATAGTCGCTAAATGCTTCGAAAAGCTGGTCATGACTCGCATCAAAACAACAATCAACATCAACGTGGACCCTCATCAGTATGCATACCGTGAGAACCGATCAACAGAGGATACCATTTCCTCTGTGGTCCACACTGCGCTCAACCACCTGGAGCAGAAAAACTCTTGCGTCCGTATGCTCTTTGTGGACTTCACATCCGCCTTCAACACCATGATCCCCCAAACCCTGATGGACAAACTATCCACACTAGGACTAAGCCCCTCCATTTGCAACTGGGTCCTAGACTTCTTAACAAACAGACCACAGTCGGTGAGTATCCACAACTTCTCCTCCTCCACCATAACCCTCAGCACTGGCTTTCCTCAGGGATGTGTGTTGAGCCTCCTCCTGTTTACTCTGCTCACGTATGATTGTGCAGCTACCCATCCAGGCTGTCACATTGTAAAGTTTGCAGATGATACAGCGGTGGTGGGATGCATCACAAAGAATGGAGTAGAACCACTAGACTGAGGAACAGCTTCTACTACGAGGCTGTTAGACTCATAAATCTCTAACCAGAATAATCACTGTGAAAAACCACATCATGTTGCTGCTGATCTGTTTCAATGATGTGTTCATGCGTGCACATCTGCTCACACCGACTCATGTTAATGTTTCTGCTGATGTTCAATGATTTTATGTTAATGAGTGCTTAGTGTATATTTAGTTTGTTTTTCTTAGTTCATATCTTAGATGTTATTACTGTTTTTCTTATACATTTTATTGTTGGATGTAACTGGGACCCTGTGTACATAATTTCGCTCCACCACATGAGGTGCGAATGACAAAGAAACTCTGACTTATCGCGGGTTCGCTATATTGTGGATTTTTTTAAGTAAGATTGGACATGACACAATTGGCTGATTAATGGATGAGCCATGGGTTGTTTGTTTAAAATTATTTAAATGATTTTGCACAGTGTGAAACTCACAAGAGCAAGGGAAAGCTCCCTTCTTCAGCTGATCATCTCCTCTACCACTCAAACATTTCTCCTGCGTCAGCTTTGTGAAGAGTTAACCCATTGCTGTCCAGATTCACCGATCAATTTTGTCTTCCAACTTAAAATTCAAAGTATGTCACATCGTAAAAATCATCATAATCACAAAATATAAAATTGTTACGTTATTTTTAATTATGAGAACTTCATGTTCAGTTGTTGAAGTGTAAGTGATCAAAAAGTGCATTTCTGCTCTGCTGCAGAGCTGAAGCTGTGTGACATCCCTTTTGATGTCCTGCTGCATTTCTCTACAATTTAAATACTGTAACATTTTAAACAATCCATGCTGCATGGCTTGTTTATTTAAAATGTTGCAGTATTTAAATTTACTGAACTTGAACTGAATTTGGACTACTGTATCCCTACGTTGTGGTTTTTCACTTATCACTGGTGGGCGTGGTCCCAAACACTCTTGATAAACGAGGGACTACTGTACTTTTTTTTTTTTTTTTGTCTGATTTTCTGCAACTGTCATAATAATAAAATGTAGGCTAGGCATATTGTAGGATGTGACCCATTATCAAACCATGAGGTTGGCAAAGATTCACAGCTCCAGTACCAAGCACACTATGGACCCATGCTGTCCATTGTTTTCAATTTATGCTTAGTGCATAAGTCCTATAGAACACCACTTGGATTCTGATTCGCAAGGTTTGTTCAACACTCATCTGTCCTCATTGCCCACATGAGCATTGAAGTATTCCAGGAAAACGGATCTTAGTATGCCATCCTTCCCAAGACACTGATTGGCTTGTTTACTAGGAAGAATTGTAACCCAAGGTACTTGGTCCGAGATCTAATGGTGTCCTCACACCATCTTAACACCCCTTGGTCAGCTCTGGGGTAGGAAGGAGTCCAGACCCTCTTCAGGAGTTTGACGTATCTCCAACTTGTATACCATCCCCATTTTCACCAGTGAAGTGACATTCCAACATCCAAATGTGGTTGTGCAACATTGGGAATTGGCACGGCCAAGTCCCCAGTCCTTAACTTGGACCCAGATCACACTGCCCCTATGAAACCTGACACTCAAAATAAAGGAAAAGGACAGTTTATATATTTTTATTTGATTTCTTCTTTCACAATTTTTGTGAAAATGAATGTGATTTGCTGGGTGTAAAGCACACCTGTATTGATCAGGACAAATGAATAATTTTCACCTGATCTGGACCAGCAGGTGATATCTGTTACCATGGTGATTTTACCAGGCTCGATGAATCCTCCATGATTCTGAAAAATTTTTCAGCTCAAAAGTCAGCTAGACTCATTTGGTAGATCAGCCCTCTGGTAATCCAGTGAGCAGGCATCAATTTAAAACCAGAGCGTCTTTTCATATAAGTCTGGCATAAGTTCATACCTTCGACTGTTTATATATATTTTTTTATATATTAACATCTCTGAGCAAGAACTGTATCATTGAAGCTGCAAGAATGAACTGTAGTCCAAACCTAGAACAGGGCAGGTAATGAGTTTTTCTACCATCTGCTTTTGTTAATTCAGGTTTTAATATTGAGTTTTAGCATTGTGTAGTGGTCCTCACTAAGATGACAAGTTATTCTCAAGTGTTTAAAAATTTTGTGTGGATGTTTTTTTTTTTTTTTTATCTAGTAACTGCATATTAAATTTAGGCTTTAAATTTAAGAGTGCAGGAGAGATTCCTCCTGAATAAGGAAAAAGGTAAACTACGTTTTTAGTTTTACTGTTTTGGACCGCTGTGTGAAAACAAAAGCTTTGAAGCCTTGGTTTTTACCAGATTAAATATCAATTTAATTGGTGGTTTTCAGATGCAGAAGGATGACTATTTTTTTCTTTCTTTCATGTTGTTTATCTCACTGTATTTGTTAGTAAAATATGAATTTTAAAATGTTTCTTTTTGACAGTTTCTTAACATATCAGAGGAGCAACTGGAAGATGGGTTTGCCCTCCCCCCGGATCTGATGACGGAGGACAGCGATATGACCAGACTGGTGCTGCAGCACTGTGTGATGCCTGGATATCAGTTCATCATTCAAGTCGCACCTGATCAGGCTTCGGTAACTCCATACATTTCCTAAACTTACTCCTCACCTTGTGTCTGTCAGCTGCTCTCTGCTGATGTTGACTGTTGCGGTGGACATAAAGATGGACCTCAGGTTTTGGGCTTGGAGCAGTTTTCCAATCTTAAGAGGGAAATTTCCCGTTTTGGGTTAAACATCAGGGCTTTTAAGTCAAATGGCATTTGTTTACAAAGGTCTTATCAAGAGGACCCTGTACTGAAAATTAGATTAACTAGAAATGGACATTCAGCCAGAAGAGGCAGGTTTTTTATTTACTTTTTTATTTATTTATTTATTTTTAGTTAAGGTTGCAGGGGTTACTAGAATGAATACACAGTAGTATGAGGTTTTACATATCTAATGTATGCACAGTGAGCCTTCTGCTTTAATGAAGTGAAATAAATGCCAGTGAACTGGGGGCTTCCCCTATCATAAAACCAGCCTTCTTTAAATCTGCTTTTTTTTTTTTTTTTTTTTTTTCCTCCCACACATGTTGCCACAACAAATGTCTGTGAATTAAATTGCATTCTGCCATAGATCTACAGGGGATGTAGAACATCTTTCAATCATTGGTAAACTAAGCGGTCTCTAGAAGTCTGCTTGGTCCCTTCCTCTGTTTTGATTTCAGCTGAAATCCATATGAACAGTTTTAGTTGAGTACCTCTGCAGAGGACATGACTGTTATTTAGCAGGATGATGTGAAATGATTGCGGTTTTATTTTCTGTTTGCACAATCTTGGTGGCACAGTTTAACTTGTACAAGTTCTGGGTCAGCTTGTGAGGTGGTTGTGGAGGTATCACTTTTATTTACCACAGCTTTCATGGAAGTCCGAGCATGAGGTCCGTCACCTGCAGCTGACCACCTTCAGCATGAACATGTTTTCACTGCTCAGACTGAGCATGCAGACTGTTCTGCTGTTTAGCAAAAAACCTCAGATGATGAGCAGCAGAACTACATGGATACACTCCTTCATCTCCACCTAAATTTTTTTTTTTTTTTTTTTTAAGTGGACACTTGTAGACTACTTGCAGGGGTTGACATAGTGTGGGGGGGGAGCAGTATTTTACAAGTTTTCCCACCTACAGAGGTCTGTAATTTTTATCGTAGGTACACTTGAACTGTAAGACAGAATCAGAAAATCTGAGTGTATGATTTTTAAATAATGGCATTTTATTGCATGAAATAAGTATTTGACACAATAGAAAATCAGAACTTGATATTGGGTACGGAAACCGTTGCTTGCAGTTACAGAGGTCAGGTGTTTTCCATAGTGTTTGAACAGGTTTCCACACAACAGCAGGGATTTTGGCCCACTCCTCCATGCAGGTCTTCTCCAGATCTTTCAGGTTTTGGAGCTATTGCTGGGCAACATTGAATTTCAGCTCCCTCTAAAAATTTTCTATTGGGTTCAGGTTTGGAGACTGGCTAGGCCCCTCCAGGACCTTGAAATGCTTCAAAGCCACTCCATAATTGTCCTGGCTGTGCGTTTTGTCCTGGCTGTGTTTCGGGTCATTGTCATGCTGGTAGACCCAGCCATGACCCATCAATGCTCTCATTGAGGGAAGGAGGTTGTCCAGCGATGCACGACCCGATTCATCCTCTCTTCAATACGATTCAGTCATCCTGTCCACCCCCGTGCTTCACGGTTGGGATGGTATTCTTGGAGGTTGTACTTCTTCCTCCAAACACAGCGAGTGGAGTTAATACCAAAAAGCTTTATTTTTTTTTATTTTTATTTTTTTTTGTCTCATCAGACCACTTGACCTTCTCCCATGCTTTCTCTGGATCATCCAGATGGTCAATGGTGAACTTCAAATGAGCCTGGACATGTGCTGGTGTGAGCAGGAAGACCTTGTGTGCCCTGCAGGATCTTAAACTATGACGGCGTAGTGTTACTAATGGTCCTTTTTGAGACTGTGGTCCCAGCTGTCTTCAGGTCATTGACCAGGTCCTCCTGTGTAGTTCTGGGCTGATTCCTGAAAGAATTATCCTTACCCCACAAAGCGAGCTCTTACAGGTCCTTCTCAAAAAATTAGCATATTGTGATAAAAATCATTATTTTCCATAATGTAATGATAAAAATGAAACTTTCTTGTATTTCAGATTATTGCACACCAACTGAAATATTTCAGGTCTTTAATTGTTTTAATACTGATGATTATGGCATACAGCTCATGAAAACCCAAAATGCCCGTCTCAAAAAATTAGCATATTTCATCCCACCAATGAAAGACAAGTGTTTTTAATACAAAAAACACCAACCTTCAAATAATCATGTTCAGTTATGCACTCAATACTTGGTCAGGAATCCTTTTGCATGAATGACTGCTTCAATGCAGCGTGGCATGGAGGCAATCAGCCTGTGGCACTGCTGAGGTGTTATGG